CGTGTGCTGAGACGTGGTTGTCCAGCAACAGTTACATGACAAATAGCAGTTTGCAACCCTGAACCACAGAGAGAGTTTGTTTTACTGTTCTGCCTGTTCCAGTTCCTTAACTGATGGCAGATGTCCTCATTAAGGGCTATTAGCACATCAGAATGTGTTTGCTGAGCCCTGAACAGAGCTAACTCCTTTTGGATATGGACTGAAAGATGTTATCTAGGGTAGCCAATCCCTCCTGTTGGTGATGGCAGTAGGGAGTGAGGAACACAAGAGGGCTTGGTATCCCGTTAAAACTTTCCCAAGAAGCCTTCAGCACAAGTTTATGTTTCAGTCAGGGAATTCCGTAAGAGGAGAATGTAAAATCATAAAGTGGGATTTGGCTGTGTGTTGAACTACTGTTACTGTTACCCTGAAATAGGTGTTTCTTGATTTCTCTTGGCTGCTCCAGAACCATATGGCAAACTAGGGGATGGCTGGTTTATAGGGACCATTGATAGCTCCCAAGAAAGAGCTCACCAGAGGAGTGAATGAAGTGGAGATCCTGGAGGAGAGAGGTTGGAAGGAGGCCACCGCTGGAATGGTGGAAGTGCACCAGGTGGGCAGGACCCCAGGAGTGCTTGTGAGATAGCAGGAGGTCCTGAAAAGTCACAGGCAGCCCAGAGTTAACCTTGCTGCTCGACCCACCTGTTGGCAGACCTTCACCGATGCTGTCATTCACTCTGAGTCCCCGAAGACTCTTGGTTACTTGTGCTGTCTCTCGAGCCACGTCTGTAAATGTCATGAGTGTGCTGATTAACACGGGCGAGGCATCAAGTGACGTCTGGTGATGCTGCCCAGCCTGGATTAGTCTAGATTTGTATTTCTCCCACTTCCATGCTATTAATCCCCAGTATAAACTTGGCTAAGGTTTTCCTTGACTTTTTGGGTTGATCCCATTATCCCTTTGCATGCCCTGCCAGAGGGCAATATGTGTATAAAGGTCTTCCCAAACTCAAACTGCTAAATGATTAACAGTGGCTTGGTCTGCTTAGCAGGGTCAGACTAAAGCGTTGACCTTTATTCTGTAGGTAAGAGGCCAAGATGCAAGTGGAGAAGAGATTTTTTTCAAGGAATGAAAGTATGTGAGAAAATGGATGTGTAGACTTTTAGATCAGGAGCTATTTTTTCTTTTTCTTTTTTTGAGATGGAGTCTCGCTTTGTCTCCCAGGCTGGAGTGCAGTGGCCGGATCTCAGCTCACTGCAAGCTCCGCCTTTCGGGTTCACGCCATTCTCCTGCCTCAGCCTCCCGAGTAGCTGGGACTACAGGCACCCGCCATCTCGCCCGGCTAGTTTTTTTTGTATTTTTTAGTAGAGACGGAGTTTCACCGGGTTAGCCAGGATGGTCTCGATCTCCTGACCTTGTGATCCGCCCGTCTCGGCCTCCCAAAGTGCTGGGATTACAGGCTTGAGCCACTGCGCCTGGCCTCTTTTTTGTTTTTTTTGAGACGGAGTCTCACTCTGTCCCCCAGGCTGGAGTGCAGTGGTGCGATCTCAGCTCACTGCAACCTCTGCCTCCTGGGTTCAAGCGATTCTTGTGCTTCAGCCTCCCAAGTAGCTGGGATTACAAGTGCACGCTACCACACCTGGCTAATTTTTTGTATTTTTAGTAGAGATGGGATTTCACCACGTTAGCCAGGCCGATCTTGAACTCCTAACCTCGAGTGATCTGCCTGCCTCGGCCTCCCAAAGTGTTTGGGATTATAGGCATGAGCCGTTGCACCTGGCCAGGAGCTATTTTTCCCATCGAGGTTCACTAACATAGGGAAAAAAACACCAAGTTGATGAAAATCAACTTAATTGAGTGGTTTATTTTGAGAGATTCCACACCTACTAGAATCATGGCAGGATTGTGACCTCTGACACCAGATGGACATGAGTTCATACCCAAGGCTGCAGTTCCTAAGTGTGCAGCTTTGGCACCATGACCCTCTGAGGTTGTCACCTCATCAGAAATGGTAGACCATTGGTTCATCTCAGATCCTTTTGAGGATTAAATTAGATACAATTTATGAAAGCTAGTACCTCTTAGGCACTTAATAAAGACAGTTTCCCTTCCTTCTTTCTCTTCTGCTTTTAAAACTTAAGATTTGGCAGTACTAAAATAAAGCCAATGAGAAAATGTATTTTGGTGTGAAATTCTGGCCAGTTAAAGGAGAAAGGGGCAGGAGGGATCCAGTCAGAAGCAGCAGGTTCACCAACTCCATGCGGATCCGGCAGGCGTGGAAGGTTGCAGGCACAAACAAAACAGGCAGTAGAAAGCAGTCTTTAAATTAAAAAAAGAAAAAGGCTTAGAAAAAACATCGACTGAATTTGTTGGCCAAACATTTCAGGCGCCGTCTGAAGACTGGGAGCCCAGGAATTTGGGAAATACTACCCTTTCTTCATTTTCAGTGGTAGAAACCCCAAACTTCCTGCTCTAGAAAGTGGGGAGGCCATTAGGTTGTTTTTTTTTTTGGCTAAGAAAGTGGTGTAGTTTCTTTCTCTGGGTTGATGCTGCCATCTCATGTCTCTGCGTGGTGTTGCGGCTTCGCCTCTGGATCCTGTCAGCCCAGTGAAACTGAACTGAGAGTTAGAGGTGCTCCATTTTAGCCTGAGGCTCCAAAGACGAAGGTATGTAGGTGACAGTGTTTTAAAAACCAGTTTAGGCCAGGCACGATGCCTCATGCCTGTAATTCCAGCACTTTGGGAGGCCAAGGCAGGCAGATGGCCTGAGCTCAGGAGTTTGAGACTACCCTGGGCAACATGATGAAAACCTGTCTCTACTAAAATACAGAATATTAGCCAGGCGTAGTGGTGCACACCTGTGGTTCCAGCTACTTGGGAGGCTGAGGCAGGAGAATCACTTGAACCCAGGAGGCAGAGGTTGCAGTGAGCTGAGATCATGCCACTGCACTCCAGCCTGGGCAACAAAATGAGACTCCATCTCAAAAAAAAAAAAAAATACCCAAACCAAAAAAACAACCAATTTAGCTTAGGTATACTTTTTTTTTTTTTTTTTGTAGTGGCAAAGAATCTACTCTTTGCATTTGTCTCCCTTTTTATTGTTACAATGAAGTTTTCAGAGAGAGAGTCATTGGATGTAGTTACCAGACACCTAACTAGGAATTTCTGTCTGCGTGCTGTGACTCCAGCCTTTTCCTCATATTAATATTTTCTTTGCGTTCTGGAAAATTCATGGTGGAGATACTATGCCAGCAGATTCTAGCCCTTGAGTTTCTGTGTAAAATGCTCATGAAAACCAGCATTTTGCCCCTTTACTCAGTATTTGCTAATTTATTATTATCCTTTAGAATTCTTTTGCCGTTTCTGTTTTGTTACTGTGGAGATGTTCACGAACATACCTTGCTAGAATGGTTTGGAAAGAGGCCAGGATTTGGGAGGTGTGGAGATGGTGTGGTACCTACAGAAAGAGCCTGGGGGGCTTCTGGACAAGGGTGAAAAGGAAAGAAGGCTTATGGAACAGTTCAAAGATAGCTTGCGCTAAGAGCTGTGCCACAGGTGTCCTCTTGATGTGGGTGGGGTGGGAAAGGCACACCTGAGTGGAATTAGCCCCATAGGCGGGGGGGGCGGGGCGGTGGTGGTGGTGGTGGTGGTAGAGGGGTGGGGGGCAGTCAGCATTGATGCTGAGGTCTCTGGAAACCCTGGTGTTTTATATCTGCTGTGACCCCACAGCACCTGGGATATGCTTTGCACATAATAAGCGAATAGGAAAGAACAGAGGACTGGAACAGCAGAGATTAGGAACTGGGGAGCTGCGTGTGCTCTGTAGGAGGAGGGCAACCTGAATTTGCAAAGCACTGGTTCTGACTCGTCCCCTTCTGCCAGCGGTGTCAGGCCTGGGAGCACTGTGGGTCAACCGGTCCCCTGGTAGGGACCCACTTCGAGAGGCCTGTTCAGATTCTTGCACCAACTACCTTTGCCACCTGAACAAGTCACGTGCTCAACATTAGTTTCTTCAAGTGTAAGATGAGAGGAGCCTGGGTCATTTCTTTTTTTTTGGAGTCTGAGTCTCGTTCTGTTGTCCAGGCTGGAGTGCAGTGGTATGATTTCGGCTCACTGCAGCTTCCTGCCTCCTGGGTTCAAGTGATTCTCCTGCCTCAGCATCCTGAGTAGCTGGGATTACAGGCATGCGCCACCATGTCTGGCTAATTTTGTATTTTTAGTAGAGACAGGGTTTCATGATGTTGGCCAGGCTGGTCTTGAACTCCTGACCTCAAGTGATCCATCTACCTCAGCCTCCCAAAGTGCTGGGATTACCGGCGTGAGCCACCGCACCTGGCCAAGCTCGGTAAGTTTCTATGGCTCTTTGCAGCTTTGAGCTAGCTGAGCTTGAGAATCTGTGTGCATCAGATGTCCTCAGGCTTTGACCCAGCAATATCGTATCCTGGAAGTTGCCCTACGGAAGCCGTGGTTGATGTGTGTGTGCTGAGGTTTAGCTCAGAGGATGCTCCCTGCAGGCAGAGAAGTTTAGACGGCAGACCATTGGGTACAGCCTTTGGGTACAATAAATAATAAGAGATTAGAATAGGAATGATGTGTCCACCTAGGAAAATGCTGAGTGGCTTCTAAACATGTTTTTATAAAATAATATTGAATGATATTGCAAAACTTACACAGTTAAGTAAAAATACAGTTTACCAAACAGCAGTCCCATTTTTACAGAAATAAAAGTGTAAATACACGCACAGAAGGAAGCCTGGCCTGCTGTATAGGAAGAGTGGGCCTCCCGGGGAGGCAGGTTCTTGAGTGGTTTGTTTTTCTGTGTACACAGAGTATTTTCTGATTGTTCTACTAGGAATGGATATCACTTTTGTGAAAAGGAGGGATGGTAAAAGTTGACTTTAAAGGGTTCACTTACTTTAGCAGACCCTTCCTGGCTCCTGCTGTGTGGGGCTCCCTCCTGAAAGCTTCCTGATTCCCCCAGGTGATGGGCAGAGGCCTCAGTGTCCCCTTCGCCTCCGCAGGAGAGGAGAGGCAGCAGCATGGCGAGCGTCCTGTCCCGGCGCCTTGGAAAGCGGTCCCTCCTGGGAGCCCGGGTGTTGGGACCCAGTGCCTCGGAGGGGCCCTCGGCCGCCCCACCCTCGGAGCCACCGCTGGAAGGGGCGGCTCCCCAGCCTTTCATCGCCTCCGATGACACCCCCTGCCAGGAGCAGCCCAAGGAAGTCCTTAAGGCTCCCAGCACCTCGGGCCTTCAGCAGGTGGCCTTTCAGCCTGGGCAGAAGGTAGGTTGATCCCAACATGGACAGGTGTCCCATCCTGCGAGTCTTGGGGTGGTGGGCTGGGGTGCCCTAGTGACAGGCCGGAAACTCTCTGGGCACCGTTTTGAGTGCAGACCTTTGCCCTCCAGCCACAGGGTGTCTGGGCAGCAGATCACCCAAAAGAATATGATACTGTTAGTAGACCCAGGGCTTCTCTACCACAGTGTTGTCTGTAGAAGGTGGCAAGATCTAGCATCTGATGCTGTGGGCTTTGGCTTGTTCAAAACCTCAGTTTGAAGGATGGCCATAGCCACATTTCTCTTAATCTGCCTCAGTTTACAACTTTACCAAAGGAAAGCATCTGAGGCTTACGAGAGTCAAAGAACATTGCGTCTTTGAATTCCCTTTAGACACTTTGAGGAGTCAGAGGTGTTTGTATAGTTGGATTCGGTGTGGATTTCCTTTTCCAGCGTCTCTGCCCCTGTGCCAGGGCCCCGGGTCTGATGTTATCATGAGGTCCAGGTGCCTGGGGTTCTCTTTTGTTGCCCTCCCAAGGCCTCCTAAATAAGGACTCTACCTCTGTCTCCTTGCCAAGGCTTGTGTGCACCAGGCCTCCCTGCCTGTGAGGGAAGGTGGCCTGCCAACTTCCAGGTCCCCCTGGTGAGAGGTTGACCTGCCTCTGTACCCCTGCCACGTTGTCCCCAGGTGGACTCAGCATCCTCTGAGTGCAGGATAATGAGCAGCTCGGAGTGCCAGTTGGGCACCAGCAGACAGGCAGTGCATCCGGGGCAAGGAAGGCGGGAACATGAGTACAGATTCTAGATTCAGAGAAAGTTGCAGAAACTGACATGTTTGCTGTCTGCCAGTCTAGAGAGCTGATAAGGATCTGCCTTGGGAGGAATCAGGCCTGTGTGGGTACTCAGGTGGGAAGCGAGTACCTGGGAACATCTGCTTGAATAAAAGATGAGTGAGGCAGAGAACATGGTTCGTGGCAGGCAGACCCTGGCTCCTGGGATGTGGGGTGCTTGAGAACTTCAGGGTGAGACCCATCCAGGGCTGACCGCTGGCTGCTGTCCCTCTTCCCGCAGGTTTATGTGTGGTATCGGGGTCAAGAGTGCACAGGACTGGTGGAGCAGCACAGCTGGATGGAGGGTCAGGTGACCGTCTGGCTGCTGGAGCAGAAGCTGCAGGTCTCCTGCAGGGTGGAGGAAGTGTGGCTGGCGGAGCTGCAGGGCCCCTGTCCCCAGGCACTACCCCTGGAGCCCGGAGCCCAGGCCCTGGCCTACAGGCCTGTCTCCAGGAACATTGATGTCCCAAAGAGGTTTGTGTGGGATAAGAAATTGGGTTTTAAGAGTCACATGGGTAGTGTGGTGTGAGGGTGTGGGCTGCCTTGCGGTGTGGAAGAAATATGGTATCATTGGCATCTGGGTGCCAAGATATTGGGACACATGGGACACAGAAAAGGGGAATCTTTGGCATCTTTTCTTTTTTCTTTTTCTTTTTCTTTTTTTTTTGAGACAGCCTCACTCTGTCACCTAGGCTGGAGTTCAGTGGCATGATCTCGGCTCACTGCAACCTCTATCTCCTGGGTTCAAGCGATTCTCCCACTTCAGCCTCCCGAGTAACTGGGATTATAGGCGCGCACCACCACGCCTGGCTAATTTTTGTATTTTTTGGTAGAGACAGGGTTTCACCATATTGGTCAGGCTAGTCTCGAACTCCTGACCTCTAGTGATCCACCTGCCTCGGCCTCCCAACGTACTGGGATTACAGGTGTGAGCCACCTTGCCTGGCCCAGAATGGCATCTTTTCTTTTCCATAGCTCTATATGGGCAATGTACCTTTGGCTGGGCAAAGGGCTATTTTTTCCCCTCTCATGCTTAAACTACATCAGGTCATGGTTTATGATGAGAGACAGGGAAGAACTGGCTTAAATCGGGAGTCAACAAACTTGTTTTGAATGGGCCAGATAGTAAATAATTTAGGCTTCTGGGACTAAACAGTCTCTGTCCCCACTGCTCAGCTCTGCTGTGGTGTCCAAACAGCCAGGGGTGATGCAGAAACAAACGGGTATGGCTGTCCTCCAATAAAACCTCATTCGTGGACCCTGAGATTTCAGTTTTATATACTTTTCTTGTGTCACGTGTCCATAAATTGTATCCTTCTTTTGATTTTTAAAACTATTTAGGCCAGGCACAGTGGTTCACACCTGTAACTCCACCATTTTGGTAAGATTGCTTGAGGCTGGGAGTTTGAGACCAGCCTGGGCAAAATAGCAAGACTTTGACTCTACAAAAAAAAATAAAAACATTAGTCAGGCCTGGTGGCTTTTGCCTGTAGTCCCAGCTCCTTAGGGGGCTGAGGCAGGAGGATTGCCAGAGCCCAGGTGGTTGAGGCTACAGTGAGCAATGATGGCACCACTGCACTCCAGCCTGGGAGACAGAGCAAGACTCTGCTCTAAAAACAAAAACCAAACCAAACCAAAACAAAAAACAAACAGGCTGGATGTGGTGGCTCACGCCTGTAATCCCAGCCCTTTGGGAGACCAAGGTGGGTGGATCACGTGAGGTCAGGAGTTTGAGACCAGCCTGGCCAACATGATGAAACCCTGTCTCTACTGAAAAGACAAAAATTAGCTGGGCATGGTGGCGCATGCCTGTAATCCCAGCTACTTCAGAGGCTGAGGTAGGAGAATTGCTTGAAGCCAACCTGGGTGACAGAGTAAGACTCCATCTCAAAAAAAAGAAAAAAGAAAAAAAAACCCCCACAAAACCAAACCATTTAAAAATGTAAAACCATTCTTGGCTCGAAACCCTACAGAAACAAGCAGCAGACTACGTTTGGTCCACAACCCGCAGCATGCTTACCCCTAGCTTAGATATTCAGAACCATTGGTGTTGAATGAAGAATGTATTTTGCTTTAGAATTTTGTGATACGACTTTTTTCTAAGAATATATATCCTAATTTCTATGTTATATGCTCTATGTACATTGATCTTTTAAGATTTAAAAAGAAAATCTGCCAACTGAAATTGTCTTATATATAAGATGTGCAAGCAGTCACACCCTATCTCACCTCTCTGTGTTTGTCTATGAATGCTACAAAACACAGTAGACCCAGTATTTTAAAACCAGATCAGAGCAGCAATATTTGCGATGGTGTATTCAGCGAAATGCAGGCAAAGAATTTATTTTTCTGTTATATGGAAATGAAAATTCAAAGATCATACAAAAACAGAGATGTTAATTTGTTTAATGTATTGATAGTCTTTAATGTTTGATGTATTAATAGTCTTGGTTTTGCTGCTTCAAACCCAAGTCATATTTTAGTGGACCTGAATTGTAAGGAATAAATTAAGACAGCCCTTTGAAACAGACCACTTAGAAGTTTATTTCAGACTAACTTTTCCTAATACTTTAGCATTAACTTCTAGACAGCTCGAATTTTACTTCCAAATAGTGTAGTGATATATGGATTTTTAAAAAATTATGTGTAACATTTTATAGAACTCGGCTGTAGAAAGCATGGACATTTGTGTTGGGAGATTTATTTTAGTGCTTCTGGTTTATTTGCACGTTGGCTTGGGTAGTAGGTTCTGTTGACATTCAGAAGCTGTCAGAATGCCTTACCATTTTTCTTGGGGGAGGGGTGGGAGAAGGTGGTTAGTATATAATTGTTCCCTGTTCAATTTAAATGTGGGACAAGGAAAGGAGGTAATTGTTGTGCTTTTGAATTCCAGTGGGTGTCTTTTGTCCCCGTGTTCATTTCATTTTGAGTCTATCCTCTTTCCCCTAAATACAATTCTCCTTTTTAAGCTGCAGAGTTTGTCAGCAAAGTCACGGGAGAATGGGGCTGTCTCAGGGCGTCACAGTGGGATGAGACCCAGTGGCTTATACCAGGGCTGCCTAATATTATAAGCATCACTCAGAATGGGTACTTCCCAGGGAGAAGGGGAGACCTTCATGTTTCAGTTAGTTTATATGATCTGAGCACACACTGGCTGATTGGAGTTGGGGGGACTTGGAGGGGTCAGTCCAGAAGTGTAAGACGATCATGTGAAACCAGCCAGAAGCGGTGTCTCGTTTTGCAAGGACCATGGGCCCGCCGTGCCGGGAAGTAACCTTTTCCACTCATGCATGTGAATCCAGGAAGTCGGACGCAGTGGAAATGGATGAGATGATGGCGGCCATGGTGCTGACGTCCCTGTCCTGCAGCCCTGTTGTGCAGAGTCCTCCCGGGACCGAGGCCAACTTCTCCGGTGAGCAAGCGGGGCCCAGCTGAGTTCTGGGCATGACAGAGGCCCACGACAGACATCCTCTGTGTAGAGCAGCTAGTTGCCTATGTCACCGGCCTGGCAACAGAATTTCCAGGGACTCCTCCCAGTGGCACCTCCGACCGGCTGCATGCCATGGAGTTAGACGCATCTGTTATTTTTCCTCAGTTTCCTCACCTGGGGAGGAGTTTCCTGGTGCATTGTGAAGATGGTTGAGCATGGGACTGAGCCGCAGTGGCCCGCGGAGTAAATTCTTCCATGGGAGTGGCTGAGCCCAGCACTTTGGTGGGGCCTGAATGAGGCCAATAGAGGAATATTTAGTTCGCAAAGTAGAAATATGCTAAATGGTCTCCTAGTGGCCTGAGAAAATTCATGCCCTCGTTCCACATGCCTAATACAGCCTCATAAATTAGTGTGAGCCTACGGGACAAGGACCCGGAATAAATGAGCTAAATTCTAAAGTAAGTCTAATTGCTTAATAAAAACCAGAGGTTCGACTTCAAGGCAAATTTATTAAAACAAAATTTATATAGTTGCAACCCCAAAATACTTTATCAATAATACCAGGGAAAAAAGAGTTGCTGGGTATTTGTCAGTAGTTTGGCAAGACTGGTAGTGAACCTGAAGTGTTCTGGGAAATTCATGGCAGGGCTGGCCTCCCTTACTCCCAGGGAAGAACTTGTTCATTGGTGGACGCCTAACTGAATTGCAAGCTACTTATAAGCTTACAGGAAAATATGGAGTTAGCTCTGAGTACATAGCAGGAGGAAAGTGGCCTTCATAAGTATCCCTCATAAGGAATCTCCCTAAATAGAAATTAAACATAAGGGAGAGAGAAAACTTACTTTTGTGACTCAAAGTTGGCTGCCAAAGGAAGTCATTGTACTATGAGGACACCTAGCTGTGAAGCCTAGTATTGCATGCCTGCTCTATTAGCACAGCCAAATAGGGAAGAGGAAAGGAGGATTTCTAAGTTCTCAGGAGAGTTTAGGAGATCTGGAGGGTTGGGTCAACAGTGGAAAGATCAGGAAAGTGTCCTAAAGGGAAAGAAAAGAAAATTATTGACTCCAGTTCCCATCAGGAGGGTATGTATAATACATGCATACACAAGTGCACATCAGCGTAGAAGCATCTCACTGATGGGCCATCATCCTGATAATTTTAAGTCCCTTTGTAAAAACAAAAAACACAAATTTATTGTCTATTAAAGATTTTTTTGATGACAGTATATTTTTTATTTTATAGCTGAAGTCAGTGGAAATATAAGGCTTCCTTGGCCTGATTATCTTGAAGTGTTCTGCAAAGTGTGGTCTATGCAATGACCAAAACCTTGACAAAGAGAGTCATGGATACTATTTGCACAAACGCCACCTAGTCCCTTTGGTTTCTGTGTGGTTAAGATGGCATGTGTGTCTGTATGTCTGTGTGTAGAAAACAGGATTATAAATATTTCTTAAAAGTTCACTTGTAAGGTCTCAGTGCCATGCATTTGTAGAGCAGTACTTTATTTTCATGCTATAAAATGAGTATTTATTGCCTGTGTCCTAGAAAAATTTATGATCAAAGATGGAGTCACTTATAACTTATACATTAACTTATAACTTATAGATAACTTTTTGCTTTATGTTTTGCTTCCTTTGTGTGCCAGTCAAAATCTGCCATACAGATTTCATGCGTTTGAGCCATTGTGAGTGGTTCCTGGAGGGAAGGACTGCCGCATTTGTAGGGTGTGCCTGCCGCTTGACCTGCCCTTTGTCCCCGAGTACTGAGCATCCTAGACGTAGCCATGTAGTGTTCCGCTCTCTGCCCTTCTCTCCCTGATTGTTTTCCTATCAGTGGACATGTGTGGGTCTTTCACCTGTTGGCCTGTTTAATGATTCTTGTGTACTGCCCTGAATATGTACCCTTTTTAAAGCACACATGTAGATGTAGTAATCTCTTGGTTCCCAGGAAGGGACAGTGATAGCTGTGAGACATGACAGCCGTATCTGGGGAGGGAAGAGTTCTTCCTCCATCTCGTTCTTTTTGGGTAGGCTGCTTCTAGGATGTGAGATGTAAGGAGAGTCTGGACTGGAAATAAGGGAAGATGGGAGCCTGTGCCAGGTAGATCCCTGATTAGCATTGAAGGAGTCTGGACTATGAGCAGGAGGAGAGAAAGACAGCAGGATTTTATCCTGGCTGCAAGGGATGTGCTAGTAGACCTTGGAATGCAGAGTTAGGGGGCTCTGTGGAACGCCCCTATTGGGAGTTGGGGCTTTTGAGGACAGGTAGCTTTTTTCCCTCTCTCTTGGTATTTGCACATACCAGAATTTCAGATTCTCCTGTATTATAAATTGACCTGGATTTTTGGCCAAGGAGTGAGAGAGTGCGGGTTGGGCCTGCGCAGCCTGCAGATGTGCTGTTTAAAGACGGAAGATTCCCCATGTCTGCTGATGCTCATCCTCCTGCTCAGAGGCATTCAGGAGCCCGGCAGCTGCTTCAGGGTCACGTCAGGCACAAAAGCCCCCTGCCACCTTGCAATGATCAGAATTGCTCGCAGAGCTTGTCTTTCCTCCTCCAAACATGTTACTTCCTGATTAAAGCAGGTTCCACCTGGGCTGAAGCTGGCACTGGGAGATGTTGCGCACCCTCCCGAGAGTTGCAGAGGCTGAGTGGTTTGTTCCACCCCTAGGTTTCTATGGACTGGTCTGGGTTTAGATGATTGAAAAGCATTTTTCAGGAAAGCTGATCAAGAAGACCTTTAAGCTGGCCTCAGCTGTAGGAAAATGCTCCGGGTGGTACCCAACACTGGGTGTGCCTGTTCTCAACCAGGCCTGGAGGCTGCAGAGGCTTTGCCCCTCTCCCTCACCATCCCCCCTTTATTTAATGTATAAAGTGAGAAACAGGCAGCACTTTGGGAGGCTGAGGCCAGAGGATCGCTTGAGGACAAGAGTTTGAGACTGGCCTGGGCAACATAGCAAGACCCCATATAAAAAAAATTTTTTGTTTAAAAAGAGAAATAAATTTCAATTAGGTTCTCTACGTATGAATCCTATACAAAGTGAACTTGCAGTGTGTATCTGTTGGTCAGTGGTGACCAGGTGGCTATGGTAGGAAATGTCTGTGAGGGCAGAGCAGTTCTACCAAGGGAAATTGCTGCCGTGAATGAACCCCTCTCCGTGTTTACCGAAGCTCAGAAGGGAGAGTTCGCCCAGGGACAAGCCTGTGAGCGTCCTCTCATCTACTCTTCGTCTGGCCAGCTTCCCGTGCGGCCTGTGACCCGTGGAAGGAGAGCGGTGACGTCTCGGACAGCGGCAGCAGCACTACCAGCGGTCACTGGAGTGGGAGCAGTGGCGTCTCCACCCCCTCGCCCCCCCACCCCCAGGCCAGCCCCAAGTATTTGGGGGATGCTTTTGGTTCTCCCCAAACTGATCATGGCTTTGAGACCGATCCTGACCCTTTCCTGTTGGATGAACCAGCTCCACGAAAAAGAAAGGTATGTGATTATGGTGTGAGTGGGAGCCCAGGCTTGAGTGGATGATGTCTCTGTGGGGACAGCCAGCCATGGAGGGAGGGGACCCTGCAGGCCTTACATAGTCTTGGGTTCACTCCCATTTCGGTTTTCTATTGCTGCTTCTGTTACCTGGTGATACTCCCAGGATTCCACTCCTCCTGTTTAAAGCCTCTTCCCTTTTAGTCTCCACCCCAATCCCTGCCTTCTTTCCTGTGCTCCTGCAGAGGTCTGCGTGGGAGAGGCCTCCAGTGGGGTCTTAACCATAGCACCGAGCACCGCTCTTGGCCACTAGGACCGTCTCTTAGGTTGGGGCTTTCTAGCCCCTGGTTGTAAGTTTCTCTGGTCCCAGAGAACCCCTTTCCTGGAGGTTTTTGTTGGGTCAGGCTGGGGACAGCAGCCACTTTGAGTCCCCACTGGGTAAGGATGAGCGAGGGATAAGGAGAAAAACATATCCACTCACCCCATCTTCCTTTCCTCTAGAACTCTGTGAAGGTGATGTATAAGTGCCTGTGGCCAAACTGTGGCAAAGTGCTGCGCTCCATTGTGGGCATCAAACGACACATCAAAGCCCTCCACCTGGGGTAGGTTCGAGCCCAGGGCCTCTAGCCTAGGGTCGCATGCAGGTGTCCCTCCACCCTGCCAAGTCCCTGTGACCCGCAGCCCACAGTGCTTTCAGGAACGTGGCTTGCTGGAAACCCCCCCTGGCGTCTCTTCCTGGCCGCCTGAGAAAGACAGCCTGGTGAACATTGTTGCTGTTGACAGGAAGGGAATTCTGTCCATCTTGGGGATGTGTCTTCTTGCCTCACTGCAGGAAGCAAGATGTTTTAGTTCTGGGTAGAAATGGGGTCGTTTGGTTCAGTTGCTGGTGAGACCCCGTTTCCAAGATGTTTAGTGGCCGAGCACTGCACCACTGACTCCTCCTTGGGAGTGGGTCTCTGCTAGCCCCACCCTGGTGCCTGGGTCGTGTTCTGTGCAGAGCGACTTTGCAGGCTGCTAGTGGTAGGAGCTGACTCACAGCCCTGGGGAGAAAGCGTGACTGCAGGCAGGTGGGGCCAGAGAGGGCTCTCGGTCGTGCTCAGCGTGGGATGCTTCCTGTCAGAGGAGAGGCTGGTACATGTTCCGAGAGAGGATGAGCCTTAGGTGCCAGGAAAAGTAATTCCCATCGATGTGCAGCACATAATCCTGGTGACACCCGTCAGGAGCGAGGCTCCTGGGTGTTCTCTTGGGCTCCGTCCCTGACTTGCTGGGTGGCCTCAAGCAATCACTTCCCTCCCCACCGCGGTCCCCGCTAGGTTTGAAGGGGGCAGTGCACCCCTGATTATGCCGCATCTCCCTCTCACACAGGGACACGGTGGACTCCGATCAGTTCAAGCGGGAGGAGGATTTCTACTACACAGAGATGCAGATGAAGGAGGAATCTGCCACCGCTGCTGCTGCTGCTGTGGGCACCCTGGTCCCTGGGACTCCCACCACCGAGCCAACTCCCACCCCCAGCATGACCGGCATGCCTCTGTCCGCTCTTCCACCACCTCTGCACAAAGCTCAGTCCTCCGGCCCAGAACATCCTGGCCAGGAGTCCTCCCTGCCCTCAGGGGCTCTCAGCAAGTCAGCTCCTGGGTCCTTCTGGCACATTCAGGCTGATCATGCCTACCAGGTATGGGGCGGGGCACGCTGGAGGCTCAGGCTCTTGCTGACTCATCGCGGGCCAGCTTGATCACAGGCTACCGACCACCCTGATGGAAGGCTAAGCCCTTTGGCCAAATTGCTAATCTCTTCTACAAAGAAACGAAACCGAATTCACTGCTCAGTAAATGTGGGAATTCCTGGAGTTATCTACGTTGGCAGCTGTCATGAGTGGTTACTAGAAATCTAGCTGAATCCCTAAGTAACTGGGCGATGGATTTGGGCGGGGACATTGTCACACCTCTGCTTCTAAGAGAGGATGGAGTCGTGTCGTTGGGCTTCCTACAGTGATGTCTAGGTCCTAGAATTGTGTTCCATGGAGAAACAGTCCAGCATGCATGTTTCGAATACTTAACTATGGGCCAAGAATTGGGCTAAGCAAGATTTTCGGGTAGAAGAGGACTTAGTCCCTGCCCTTGTGGAGGGCATGGTTCAGATCGAGAGAGAAATGAAGATGTAACTATGGTTAATTATAATAACTGGTGAAAATACTGATTACTAGAGGCATGAGAAGATGTTGCAGGTACCAGAGGGACCAACCTATTATGCCCGTGTGGATGAGAAACTTACCACAGAGGGTGACATTTAGGACAGTCTTCCCAGCGTGTAGTAGGTACTCAGGGAACACGCAGCTTGCTGTGTGCTGATATTTCTTAAAATTCTTTTGTGCCGATTTTACCAGTCCCTGGGCCAATTTGCAAATTAGTTATTAAAAGGTATCGCTTTCAGTGAGAAAGCCTTTACAAAACGAGCCAGCCCTCCTCTTTGTTAGAATGAGTGGCCGCTTAGTGATTTCGTGCTTGACCCGCTTGCAGCGCTGGCCGACCTACGGGGCCCGGACATGTGACTGGTGTTTTCACAAATAGTCCTGAACCTGGATATCCGTGAGCACACTGCCACTCTCAAGCAGGTGCTGGGGGATCCCATATCTTATCCCAGCCATGCCCGCAAGACGCAGAAGGCTTGGGGCCTCTTTTGGCACCTGCTGTGGCATGTTCTTGGTAGGTGATCCAGTTGAGAAGTTAAATCTTCTGCAGTGATTAAGTCATGAGACTGGCATGTAGACCAGCTCTGAGGGAAGGGTTCCAAGATGAGATCGGAGCCTCGCAATAAGGAGACTGCTTCAAAGCACTGGATGATACTCCAGTGTTGTCCTCGGGAAAGCCGAGCGTGTCCCAGCTCTTGCTGGTCATTGCACTTATGCAGAGATGCACCTTCTGCTGCCGTCATGAGGCTGTGGGGATTGTGGGTAGACTCTGAACACTTCCTGAGCTAGAATCCAGGCTGACACCCTCGTCTTCCGCAGGCTCTGCCGTCCTTCCAGATCCCTGTCTCACCACACATCTACACCAGTGTCAGCTGGGCTGCCGCCCCCTCCACTGCCTGCTCCCTCTCTCCGGTGAGTGTGCTGGTAGCACGGCCGGGGCCTGTTATGGCCGAGGGCTCTCCCACACATCCCAGGGCTGGAGGCCATCCCTTGGGCACAGGGCACCTGGCCACAGGTCGATGTGGCCATCTTGCCTCCATCCCCTAAACGTGTTGAAGGTCTCCTTGTGCCGCCCCTCCCTGGCACTCCCCATCTGGCCACAGCCCCTCGCAGAGGTGGAAGGGGGCGCTTGTAGAGGATGTCCAGAGCAAGCAGGTTTCTTGCCAAGAAAATCGCCAGGCGAGGCTGGGGTCAGTGCTCCATCAGCCCCTAGTGCCTGTGGGTGTTTTTAGGATTTTAATGCTGAGAGGAGAGGAAGGGGGAGAATGTGGAGGCTGTGTGGGCTGGGTCAGAAGTCTCAAGGCCACTGGGGACAAGGGCCATAGGTGGACCCCAAACTCAAGTCAGCGGGAAGTCATTTGGAACTCTACCTAGCAGGCGCTGGTCTTGAGTTATCTCCTGCAGGGTGGTGTCACATTGTAAATCAGATTGCCAGTGATGCCACTGAGGCAGCGCGAGGCTTCCAGGCATGGCGGCTCTGTCCAAGTCCCCTGCAGGGAGAGCCTCAGAGGGGACCAGGTCCAGTGGCCCCCTGTCCTTGTCCTTGGCTGGGTCCTGAGTATGGCATGAAGGCCTGCTCCTTCCTCACTCTCCTGCCAAGAGCTCCCCTTGGCTAGAGTGTTCTCCCTGAGAAGGCGCAAGGCCGCCTGCACCAGAAGGAGCTGGGGATGGGTGGCTGCCTGTCTTTTAGGATGGCTCCCTCACCTTTACTGACTGTCCCTCTGCTCATGGCCCCTCTCCCCACGCCCAGGTCCGGAGCCGGTCGCTAAGCTTCAGCGAGCCCCAGCAGCCAGCACCTGTGATGAAATCTCACCTGATCGTCACTTCTCCACCCCGGGCCCAGAGTGGTGCCAGGTGAGATGTCCGCTGTCATCCCCGCCTTCTGGTTTCTGTGCCCTGTCTCCGGTGGTGTGGACGCCGACCCCGCCCAGATGAAGTCACCAGGGTTAGTCCCCTGAGAGGAGCTCAGATGGTGGACACACCAGATGGGATGACTGTTTGGTCCTCAGAGCCTATGGCCCCTGGTCCTGCTGGCTTTTGCTGGGAGCTGCCCCTTCGGCCTCTGCTTGTTCTCCTAGTCCCACTGGGCCGCTCTCCCGGGCCCACCACCTGTGTGGGACTCGATTTGCATTCCTCTCTTTCTGCAGGAAAGCCCGGGGGGAGGCTAAGAAGTGCCGTAAGGTGTATGGCATCGAGCACCGGGACCAGTGGTGCACAGCCTGCCGGTGGAAGAAGGCCTGCCAGCGCTTCCTGGACTGAGCCTTGCTGCAGGTTCTACTCTGCTCCTGGCCCTGCCAGCAGCCGCTGAAAAGAGGCCAACGTGTCACCAGTCCTCAGCAGAAACCGAAAGAGAAAGAGCGGAAACATGGAGTTCAGGCTCTGTTGGCTAAGGTGTAACACTTAAAGCAGTTTTCTCCCATTGTGGGAACATTTTATTTTTTAAAAAAAGAAACAAAAATATTTTTCCCCCTAAAATAGGAGAGAGAGCCAGAACTGACCAAGGGTATTCAGCAGTGAACCAGTGACCAAAGAATTAATTACCTTCCGTTTCCCACATCCCCGCTCTTTAGGGGATTAGCTTGTGTGTATCAAAAGAAGGAACAGCTCGTTCTGCTTCCTGCTGAGTCGGTGACTTCTTTGCTTTCTCAACTCTTCCAGAAAGGACTGTAAGCAAGATGAATTTACTTTTCTTAAAAAAAAAAAAAAAAAAAAAAGAGTTTCTGGCTGATGGGTGACTCAGAGCGCAGCACTGCCCGGCTGGGGGAAGGGGGGTTTGCCCTTCTCGGAGGGTACCTCCTGTTCCCTGTCTGAGCACCCGGCATGGAAGTCAAAGGAAAGCCCTTTCTTGGTGACAACAACGTAAATCTGGGTTCCCTCAGACATTGGGTTGCACCCCAACGAATATTAAATGGCTCCTTAAAGCCCAGAGAAAGAGGTTTTTTAAAAGACCTGCCAAAAAGCTGAGCCAAAAGGCTGATCAGAATTCACTTTTTGGAATGTGGCAGTTAAACACTACCTTGACCATTCTCTTTCCTGGAGGAACTCCTGGAGGGTTTGAGCGTCTGGAAGCTCGGCTCTGACCTGAGAAAGCGCCCTCCTGACGCCTCCTCCTGCCGGTTATGGAACGGACGCCTCAGAAATGTTTTGTTTTCTTTTATGATGTATTCAGAAACCTTTGCTGATTGAAGTTTCCTTTTATTTGGGTGGCCGGGAGAGACCCAGGGAGGTTCTTGGAGGTTCCTTTCTGTCTCCTGGCCCCACCAGGGATTTCCCCATTTCTGTTTGCTGCCTGAAAGCAGGATGAGGAAGGCCAAGGAGAGTCCTTGCACCCGTGAGCATCAGGATGAGGAAATGACAGAAGGAAGACGTGGGTTTGGGTTAGTGGCTGCTGGCGTTTCGGCCCTTGGTGTTTCTGGAGCCTCTGCGGATCTAGGAGAGCCTGGGCTGCGTGCAGGTCGATAAGCAGAGCTGTTCTTGTGGAGAAGGAGGGAGGTCTAGGGAGTTTAGCGCCATGCCAACCAGCCGTGCGCGATGACAGAGTGAGCCACGCCCGGACGGCAGCGCATGTTTTCTGTTTCGGTGTCTCGCTTTCCTCCCAGCATGACTTACGTGGGGATTCCTCAGGGCCTGCTGGAATGTGACCGCCCGCTGCCCAGCTGCCTTGGGTACAAGTCCTGGCTCTATGTCCCAGCCGTCAGGGGCTCAGGGAATCCTACCCAGCCACCTGTCCTGGGATGGAGTGTCAGCACCCACCCCTTGGTCATCATCGAGGCCATCCTCCCAGTCCTGGGTGAAGGTACCTGGGCAACCAGGGCTCCCTTGGCCCCTTCACGCAGGAAATAGACATGTGCTTTTTAATGCAGGACACTTTGAGTGTTATAAAATCTGTAGATCTGGCAGTAGGGGCATGATTTTGGGAAGGGTATAGTGCCCTAGGTTGGTGACAGAAGGGACAGACACTTATGCACAGGTGTCTTTGGTGATGGGGTATATTTTTATAACTGCGTAAAAAAAATGTATATGGAATTCTGTCTCTTGGTAAAGCTCAAAGCCAGGCTAGCCTGAGTTGGCGCAGGGCTCTCCTTCCTGTCCCTTCGACCTCCTTGAGAATTAAAAGCTGGCAGCTGCCGATGGTGTTTCCTGACCCCCTCGCTTCCCATGACGATCCCCAGCTTCAGATCCTCATGGGGAGGGGAGGGCGTGTTCTTATGCGTGGGCACAGGAGGGCCTTCCCTTCCCCTCTCTGTCAGAGTTTTCACTGCCGTCTCGTCTTGAGAAAGCTGTTTGAATTCCCTCCGCCCCCAGTTTGGACCGTGTAGATATAACTGGATATACGGATTTTTCTCTTTGTGTGGCAGGCTTCTTATGCCATTGGTATACAGGGCAGGAAAGCAAGGAGGAATAAAGGGAGGAGCAGTTTGGAAACCACGGTGGTTTTGCTTTGTTCTTGTTATTTGGTTTTGGTGCCGCCTTCCCTGCCTGTGCTCGTGCCCCCTCTCCTCCTCGGCGCTGGCGGCCTCCTTGCCTCCCTTTCACCCACGCTGCCATCCTGTGGCTGTCGTGTTGGTTCTTCACACGTGCTCTGTTCTCGCGGTTGCTCCATTCATGTCTTCTTGGAGGGTGAGGGTGGCTTGGGAACTGACCCAGTGATCACACCTACTTTCTGCATCTTTCTATCTCCCTCCTTCCCAGCCCACCCGGGCTGCAGACTCTGATGGAAGGAAGGTGCCGCAGGTGGGCTTTTAGAAACTAACGGACTGATTTTCAAAGCAGTTATCTTGGGAAACTGTTTATTCCAGCGATGTGACTTTTTTCAGAATATTTCTTGGAATCACCTTCAGAGTCTGGGGCTGTGTGTTAAGCAACCTTAAGGATGCTCGACACTCATTTAGTGCCCAGGGAGTCCAGCGAATGGCATCTGTGGCCAAGCGAGGTCTCAGGTACAAAGCAGAAGGACCATTTAAAGTAAAATAGCTTGGATTCAATCGTGTGACTTTTAAATTGGCTCAGAAAGCAATTGTGTGATTTCAGAGAGTGTTTTGAGCCGCGGCCACGTTGTTGTGAGTCTATAGCTTGACTCCTTGGAGAACAATATTCATTTGGATGTGGAAACTCTGATTTGCTGGGAGAAATCTGTCCTGTTACTTTCTGGTCATCCCAGGTTCTGACTTTTACCAGGGGCAAAAAAAAAAAAAAAAGGAGATAAATCCCATCTGTGAATTTGTCTTATTGGCGCCTTTTCCCTCAGCTGTCTTCCAAGTATTATTTTTACTGTTAAAAAATTTTTTAAAAAATGTGAAATGTAATGTTTTTACAGCAACAATATGAAATATATTTTATAAGGAATAAAATGGTACCTTGTCTGATTTAATGTGTGCCTGTCCATTGCCCCTTCCCCTGCAACAAATAAGATTATCACTGTGCTTGTCCTTGGTGTTACACAAATGGTAGCATATCACACTGTAGCAAAGCATGACGTTGATTCGCTTATACTAACAGTCGGTAACACTTCCCAGTGACTAGGCCACGTGTGTACGTGGGTTCCCTATTATAAATAACGCTATGAGAGAGTGCTGTTACTGTTCCCATTTTGCAGATGAGAAGAGTGAGGCAGAGGTTCAGGAACTTGCCCAAGGTTATAAACTGGGAAATAATGGCACTCCAGGCAGTATTTTCTGCTGCTTTTCTTGACTGCATTCCTGAGTCTTTTGAGGAGCAAGCAAGTGACATGGGAGAAAATACGTCACACGCTACCTCTCAAATGGCTTCTGAACATGGTCTGCTCTGTACCGACATCAGTTGCAGGTGCTGCGATGGCCCAAGTGGCTGGCAGAGCTGGCCTAGGTGGGAAGGCTGTTGGAAGCAGAAGGTATCATTCCACCCAGGGGCTGGTTTGTGCAATTTCAGGTTTGCTGAACCTTTAAGAACCACTTGGTAAAGCAGTGATTCCAAGACCGAGTCAAATAAACCAGGCTTGCTTGAAGAAGTTGTGGAAATGTGTTTAAACATTCAAGGCATATTTAAAATAAGAGTTCAAGGTGGTGGTGGGGCAGGTGGGAGACCCAGCAGGATCCTTTCTGCACTGAGTCACCCTTCTGGTGGGGAGAAGCAGGAGCTATAGGAAGAGGCTCTGGGGAATAGGGAAGGCAAAGAGGCAGTGAGGAGCTTTGGGGATTGTGAAGTGTCTCTTGGGGCGAGTTGCAGGGACCCTTCCTTCACATTGATGGCCAGTGGGGGTATCCCACTCCGGCACTTCATGATGGCCTGAGTCAGCCACGCCCAGCAGCCCACAAAGCAGTTTCTTTTTACCCCCTTTTTGCCGTTTTTTATATCTTGGAAGTGCAGTCAGGGACTTCCTTCTCCCTTTCTCTGTGTCCTTGTTCCAGCTCATCCCTCTAAGAACACCTTGAATAGAATTACCTGTTCTACTGCTTTTGTCAAGTCCCCCACCAAGTTAGCTACCTGCCTTTTCCATCTGTAGCTTGCCCCCCGACCCCTACCTTTGCAGCTGCATCAGTGGGTCGACCCCCCAATTTTCCGGCTTCTGGTTGGATTTGGCTGGCAGACACCAGGCTGGAGTTTGAAAGCGAGGAGCAGAGAGAAGGGGGGGTATTGAATCCTGGCTCCCACAGTGTATGAGTAAATGGCTGTATTTCTCTGCTGAAAGCAATGGAGAGCTAGAGTCCTTGTGGGTCCAGGAACTCCCTTACCCCTACCAGGGCTCTCCGGCTCCCAACAGAGCGCCTTTCCATCCCTTGCTGATCTTCTATACCTGCCCACTCATGTAGACGGTTAACTCCCTGACAGACTCGGTTTGGGTTGCCTTGTGTTTCTCGGCTGGACTCTGACAGTGACATACCCTAACGTGTGAAGCTGGAGATAAAAGTGGCATCAGCAGGTTTTTCTCTGCCCTCCTCCTTGCTGTGTGTCCCAGTCCACTGGACCCAAACCAGCAGGATCTGTACCACCTGGAGCTTGGTAAAAAGGCAGATTTCTACCATCTGAAACGGGGTGGCGCCAGCAGCCTGCCTCTGCGGTGCTGATGCCCACAGGGGTTTGGAGAGCCCCGCCCTCTCTCTGGCCCGTCCATTCACACAGCCATGTGCATTCATTCGCCCACCGGCTGCGCTTGGATCTGGGCACTGTGCCATCGGGGTGCACCTTGCCCATTCTTTTTTTTTTTTTTTTTTTTAGGGACTCTTTTTGCGACCTGGGCTGGAGTGTACTGATGCAATTATAGCTCATTATAGCCACGACACCCAGCCTATACTTGTATTACAAGGTTGTGTTTATAGAGTTTATTATCAGAGTTTATGAATGAAAGCAAATATGTGTGTTACGA